ATCTGCTCACAAATCTCTCCTGTGATGGTGCTGTCACCCCCTGAGGCCAGGAACCAGAGACACTCTGTTAAATGACACCCCACATGGCAGCCCAGCTCACAATTTCCCTGATCCACAGCATGCCAGGCCAGCCAGCCTGCATCCCACATCCTGCATCCCACATCCCATATCCTGCATCCTGCATCATCCTACATCCTGCATCCTCTCATGTCCTGCATCGCAGATCTCCCGTGGCTGAACTGGAGAGCAGGGCTGAGGCTGCAACAGGGACTCTGGAGCTGCTGTGCCCCAGTGCCAGAGCAAGCCAGAACCTGATTCCTCACAGCAATTCCCCAAATCTACCTTTCACCTCCCAGGTATTAGAGATGTGGCACTAATAAAAACACCTGGTTACACGGGATGTATTGCTACAAGGGCAGTCAAGCTGCAGAGCGTTTACCTCCTTCTTTCATCCTTCCCTACTTTTTGCATAAAGGGTAGCTGCAAAGATGATGGGCTGGCCTTGGGCTGAGTGATTCAGACCTTCAGATACCTATTGGAACAAGAGCTCCTGGTGGTGGCTGTACAACAAGGGTCAGTCTTGGTTTCACTTAAAAACATCTTGGGTTTTTCCTCATTGCTTGCTTTTCCGACAGCAGCAGGGCAAAGATGCCACCCATTCCTGCAGTTATTCCTCTCCCCACAGGCTGTCACCGGCGCTGTGCAGCCACGTCCCGGTCACAGGAAGGTGTCTGTCTGTCTCAGTTCCGCGGTGGCACTTTTTTGGATGCTTCCAGGCATGTTGGAAGTGGCAGGACCAGCAGGGAGAGCAGCTGGCTGGCAGCACCGGGAATGCAGTCCCTGCACAAGACCCACGCTGCTCTCCAGGCAAATTTACTGTCAGATGGCACCAGCAATTTCATCCAAACTCCACTGGGATTTTACACTGGAAGCAGCCTGTAAATTAAATAAGTATTGCAACATATTTGTCAGACAGCTGTATTAAATGCTTCCAGATATACATTCATCCTCGAGACACGTGTGGTCAGATGGGATCCAGGCTGCTTGCATTACTCTGCAACACTTGCTGGGCTCTCGCCATGATTTTCTCATCTATCATGTGTTTGGAAGCTTGAAATGTTATTATTTTTTTTGGCATTACTGCTACATTTCATCTGTCATCACGATGTGCTGCAGGAACACACAGGGACAGATGGGCCTGGACTCTTCTTCCTATCTGAATAAACACAGGCACAACCAGGGAAAGCAGCTGCTGCAAGGTCAGCCTCTGGGGCAAAGCACCCATTTGCCACCTAAATTTCACCTGCTCAGTAAACCACTTTTTCTGCAATGAATTCTGACTATGTGAGTTAAATCAGTGAGGAATATCCTCTCCCTCTTCTGCTTAGGTGTCTCAAGTGAGTGGAGAAATCCCCAAGACCCAGAAAGCAAATTCCACAGCCTGCTGAGTCCATGGTTGTGGTGTGGGATGGAAATTCTCCAGTGTGAGTGGGGTGTTTCATGTTGATGGCCTGAACTGTTGTGACCCCATTGCCATCACATGGACATCCATAGCACTAAGGCAGCCCTCCAGAGGCTCTCTGCAAATGTTTAACAACTTTCCAAGTGTCCTTTAACACCCAGCTGCAGTTTCACCAGTCTCAAATGTTCAGATGGGCAAGCCAAGCTTCTGTTCCCCCTATCAGAAAACCCTTGTACCTGCTTTTTCATGCTGAGATCTTCTTCTGGAGTCCTCCATCACCAGGGCTGTAGATTTTCCTGGTGCCAACAGATGGTTCTGGCCTTGTCCCAGGCCCTTACAATGATCAAACCAATACTGCCCTGTTTCACTTTTCATCATTTGAAGCTCTGCAGCAACTTTGCCTTTTGAACTTTTCATCGTTTCTTCCCCAGCAAAACCCGCTGAGTTTTCTTTCCCAGGCTGTGAGTGTTCATGGTTTCTCTTGCTGTGAAACCTCTGAAATACATGAGAAAGGCTTTTCTCTCCCCTCCACCAGTGAAATATAGAATGCAGAGTCTGGAGGCTGGGTTAAACCCAATTTTGCTATCACCAAAGATCAGATTCTTGTTCCAAATCCCCATAAATGGGTTTAGCCAGTTTGTCCCCTATGTTCCCTCCATATTAGCTCATTACTTGACATCTCATATGAACTTCAGGGCAAACCATATCCTTTGTCTCCACCAATAAAACAAAAAAAAATCTAAAGCAGTGAACCAGAGTTTACTGGTTAATTTATAACTATAAGGAAGGCAGTTTGGTGAAAATTGACCCTGTTCATGGTCAAACTCACTCTCCAGGGACTTTGTCAGCACTGAAAATTTCTGTGTTATCATAAAAGTTTCATGTGAAGCTGCACCAGAAGCTCCATTCTGCCTGGCCCCTCCACCTCTGGGTTTGGGGGTATTTATGTGTTATTTTGTAGGGGATTGCTGAAAGGTGCCAGCCAAATCCAGATGGGTCAGTCTGATAATGATGTAGGTGCCACCAGACATTCCAAACAGCTCCACTGGCACTGATCAAAGGCTCTACCATCACATATCCCTCTTTTCCTTGTGCAGAGCTCGTGAGGGATCCAACTACACAGCATCATAATATTTATGAATGTTCTGCAGGTCTTCACAAGAGAGTTTGTCATGTCAAAGTGGGTCCCTTATGCTCTGGCTATACCCAAAGCCCTCCCTAGGACATGCCTAACTTGATTACAGCATTCTGCCTCCTAAAGATCAACCTTTAACTCTGCCCTGAACTTTCACACAGACACAGCTGGTTCAGTACAAAGAGATACACTAATTTCCATGAGGATGGCCAAGTGTGTGAAAAGGTAACGCTGCTCAGCATAGTGCCTGCCAGGGATGTTCTCCAAGGCAATGACAATGAACCTCAGATAAACAGTGGTTTTTCCAGCAAAATGACCCTATAAGCAGAAAATGTGGGACATGGCATATTTTAGACTAAAAACTAAAGGGAAGTGCCCAAACATCAGAAGTTCTCTGTCTCAGAGATGTGTTACATTGAAGGAAGCACTCACAGAGTTCAGCAGCCCCTGTGTTGTAGCCTATCAGACTATCAGCCTCCACAGCTGATAACACATTTGATCCTCATAATATCCCAAGACACAAATGGGACATTATTTCAGCCCATCTGGGGATCCTGATTTTTACAATATGCATGGAAGTCACCCACACATGTCCGATTTCCAGCCCCAGCTCTCCACCAACTCCCCATTGCCATTCCAGGTTTCTGGGCCTATGGGGAACCCAGGTAAGCAGCAGGATCTGCACAGGGATTGCAAGGAGGGTCCTACCTGGGCCCAACCAAGCACTGTATTGGAGAGGTAAATGCAAAGATGCAGAGCCCTTTTGGAGAAGGTGAGATGCCATGTGGGCAGAGGAAGGAGGGCTCACCAGGGCTGTAGAGGGAGCATGGCCCTGCCATCACACCTCCCCATCATGTGCTCTCAACCTTGCTGCAGCTCACCCTACTGCTCTGCAGCTTTTCCTCTCCTTGCCTCATCTACTGGCCATGGTGACTCCTCTGGACAGCAGTTTTGTCTCCTGGCTTGTCCGTGGAAGGAGCCCTTGGGGAGCAGGGCCTCATCCCTTATGTGCTGCTGGAGTGTTGCCCATTCTCTGGCTTACAACCATCTCATGCAAGTTGATGTTTTAAATGTCTTTCAAGTTTCTTGACATCAAGGAGTTTCAGTCACTAGTACTTTAGTAAATTCCAACAGTTTTTGTTTTAGTGTAGATTGTCTTTGTGGTAGATTTTCAGCAAGTTTCTTGAATCTCAGGGATACTGCAAAGCAGGGTATGTTCTGCCCAAGGTAGTAGTACCCTATTCAAGTAGGGCAGTGCTTTCACAGGTGCAGGTGGCTGACCCCATGCAGCCACTCATGGAGAAGAGGTGGCCTGTGTGCTCCTCACTTCCAGTGGGCAAATGAAAGCTTCGACACCTGAGCCCTCTGAGGGCAGCACCGAGCCCAGCCAGAGCCCCAGCCTGCCTGCATCTCACCTCCTCCCTCCTCTGGCTTCATCCACCTGGGCATGGAGGACTGTGGGTCTCTCAGGATCTTTAGCTGGTCAAAGTGACCCCAAGAAATGTTAAAAGTTTCTTGTCCCAGCCCGAGCGCTTGAAGAAGGAGTTGGAGCTCTTCAGTTCTCGGTCTCAAGGTTGTTTATTGTGTCTTATCTATAAAAACATTTCTCCTGCCCTGCCGAGGTCCATCCAGCAGGACAGTCCAGGCACTCTGCCTGCCCCTGGGGCAGTGTTATCTCTTTATACTAAAAGCTACATGTACAATATTTACAATTACTTTCCAATACCTATCACCTATGTTAGACAGTGAGCTTCTACTCTAAACCAATCTAACAGTGCCAACATCACAGCAGAAGATGGAGGCCAAGAAGCAGAAGGAGAAAGGCTGGACATGCCCAGATCCCTCCATCTTGCCCCCTGGATCCCCATTCTAGAAACCCCAAAATCTACTTTTTCACCCCATGATAACTTCACTATTATTCTACCTAAACTGTTGTGGCTTGCAGATCTTCATATAAGGTTGGTAATTTGCTCCACGGGTCATAATTGAAACCACAGGTGTTTGGGCTCTGTGCCAGGGCTCCTGAGCCCCCTGGCAGGGGTCTTGGCCATCCTGGACAGCCAGAGGGATGTCCTGGGTTCCCACATGGGTGGGTGTGACAGCACTGCTGGGACTTCAGCAAAAGCAGGGAATATTCAGGGGCTGGTTGTTGTCCAGGTCGCAGGGACGGGCTGCAGAAAGCAGGTCAAAGGGGGACCGAGTGCACTGGCTGCCGGCCGAGCTGACGCAATGTTTGCCCTGATGTTCCAGCAGCTATAAATTGCTGCCAGCTCCACTTCACCAGGCTCAGCTCCTGCAGAGGAGGAGGGAGAGGATTTTGACCTGCACTGAGCTCCCCACCTGGCTCAGGTGTGAGAGGAGCAGGTGAGAAACAGGGAGGAGAAGACAGCGTCCTGGCCCAGCATGGCATCTCTGCTGGACAACATAACCAGACCTTCTGCTGCCATCCTGCAGCTGTCTGTGCTGCTTGGTGTAGCCTTTGTGCTGCTGAAGGTGCTCCAGTTCTACTGGGAGAGGAAGAAGCTCATCAAAGCTCTGGAGGCATTCCCTGGCCCCCCGAAACACTGGCTCTATGGCCACAATCACCTGGTAAGGACAGCTGGGCTCAGTCAGGGTGGGTTTGTCCCAGCTGTGCAAGGTATCAGTCAGGATGGAGAAGGACTGGATGGGGTGTGCCTGTGACCTGCTCCTCTCTCTTCCTACAGGAGAGAACTTCTGTGCAGGGAATGCCAAGGCTTCTGCAGGGCAGGAGAAAAGGGTGCTGGATATGTGGTGTGCATCATTTAGCAAAAAACATCATGGTTTTTCAATCATGTCGTTAAACAAAGAGTCATGGGACTTCCACAAAGTTATTTAAATATGAGCAATCATAATTATTGTCTCTTTGCTACATTAAACCTTCCACCAAAAGGAGTGTCTTACCCTATAGCTGCTGAAGAAGACATGGCCACAAAAGCAGGGTGTTTTAATGCAGCCATTTTCATCAGGTTATAGTGCAGATGCTTTGCTTTCACACTGCATGCCCACCTTGCACTGCTGAAATTGGGGAGCAGGGGTGTGACAGCTTTGGTCCTCCTGGCCTGTCCACCAGACATCCTGGCATTGCCTGTGCCAGCTGCAGCCCCCAAGTGCAACACGGAGCTGCTCCAAGCCCAGGCCGTCCTAAGGCGTCTCAGATACCACCAGCCCAGCAAGGGACTCTCCATGGAGCTGTCTTGTGCTGCAGGGATTTGGTGGCACAGGCAGCTTTGCCTCTTGTGCACAGTCCCTTTGCAATGCTCCTCCTCTCCTCCACCTGCAGCATAAAAGCCCCTGTGTGGCAAGTCCACCCACTCTTCCTTCATTTCCCAATAGAGAATTCTACTCTCCCTGGCATGCCCCTCTTTTTCTGCCTTTATTAATCCCTGATTAACTCTCATTGCAGTTAAAATCTGAAAATTTTTTACACCAAGTAGTGTCATGGGGAGAAGAATATCCCTATGCCTTTCCCAGATGGTTTGGACCAGTCGAGCCATCTATAATCATTCACCATCCTGAATATGCCAAAACCATACTTGGCCGAGCAGGTGAGTCTCTGCCTCCAGTTCTGAGAAGTCTTTGACACTTTCCTACCAAGAAAATACTGGGAAACTTGCCTGGAGTTATCCCCTCTGCCAGTTTCCTTCACAGCTATTGCAATTCTTCTTTTGCTCCTCTTTCACACACTCCCAGGCTGCCCCAGATTTCATGGAGCAGTGTGTATTCCTGTGCAAAACAGAGACCAGGTGCCTGTTCCTTCCAGTTTCCTGTCAGTTCCCAGTTTGAGGGTCATCTGTCTTACTGTCTCTTATGGCATCTACCACCACAATATTTGTACTTCCCAGTAAAAGTGTGAGCTATCATGGCAATGGCTCTCAGAAAGCATCTTAAGTCTTCCCCTCTACTCCCTTCTGTGCATCATATCAGTGGTACATACATGGCCTTCCCCAGTAATTCCCATCCATTGTTCTCAGTTTTGGAATTTGCCATGGCTGTTTCTTTTCCACACACATTTTCTTGTTGTAACTTTCCCTGTTTTTTCAAGTCCTCTGCAGTCATAATTGTAGACGATCCCTTTTAAACTCAACCTCTGGTGGTACAGTATTTAAATGAGATTAATTCTATCGTGTGATTTAGAGGGCAAAATCTAATGCAAATTTATCCTGAATTTTCTCTTTTGTTGTGTTGAATTCATCAGTTGTTCATGCATTTCTATGTTTGTTCCATTTTACAGATCCCAAGGCTAGTGCAGTCTACAAACTCCTAGTTCCCTGGATTGGTAAGGCAAAAGCAGTAGTAAGGCTGTCAGAGCTGTGATCAGGGCCTGCAGGAACTGATTGTGCCTTTGCTCTTTGTGCTTCAGGGAAGGGGCTGCTGATCCTGGAAGGAAGCAAATGGTTCCAGCACAGGAAGATGCTCACCCCAGCCTTTCACTACGATGTGCTGAAATCTTACGTGACCCTGATGTCAGACTCAGTCAAAGTGATGCTGGTAAGAATCCCCACTCCTGCTACTTTTACCTTTCGGCCGTGAAACAGTGAAAATAAAAAATTAGTAAGAGAAAGAGACAGCACTTAGAGAGTTTCTACTTTCGTTGAATTTTTGGAGTAGTTTTAGAGTTCTAAAATTGCTCTCCTCATCTTCCTTTGGACATTCCACTTATTCTTTCTCTTTGTTTGCCAATAAAGTCAACCACTGTAAGGATATCCTTTCATACCCTGATGTGCATCCTTTCATACCTGGGAAAAGAAATGCACAGAGAGTTAGATTAGATTCACAGAATATAATGAGCTAGGGCCTCTGCTTCCAGAAAAGAAAGCAATTAGCAGTGTGGATCTGGGAAGAGGGACAGGAAAAAGGACCTGACCACAGATGGTGGTCTGTCTCTCCTTACCCTGGCTCTTCCTCCAGGATAAATGGGACAAGAGGATCACAGAGAGGAGGTCAGTGGAGCTCTTTCAGGATGTCAGCTTGATGACACTAGACAGCATCATGAAATGTGCCTTCAGCTTTAATTCCAACTGTCAGACTCAGAGGTCGGTGCCTGAGTTTCCAAACCCTGGGAAAGTGAGTGCTCCTGTTTCACCACTCATTTTGCTGACACCAGCTTTGCCCTCGGCCTCCTTACAGCGACTCCAACAATTATATTAGAGCTGTTTTTGACCTGAGCTACCTCCTGAGCGATAGGATCCGGAATTTTCCCTTCAGGATTGCCTTCTACAACTTCACTCGCAATGGCCGCGCGTTTCAGGACGCCTGCAAGCTGGCCCATACCCACACAGGTATTCCTGCCCCTTTCTCCCAGCCCTGTCTCCCAGCTGAGACATCTCTTCCACTTGTCCCTGGAGTGGCTCAGAGTGGGGTTACAGCATGGACTGGCCAGAGGGTTGTACCTTAAACAGAGTCCAAGCTGATGGCTGAGCAGCCGAGCACATGAGGGTGCTCTGGAGGGACAGGATGCACAGATCTGATCTCTCCTCTGTGCAGATCAGGTAATAAAGGAAAGAAAGATGTTGCTCTCCAATGAGAAGGAGCTTGAAAAGATCCAGAAGAAGAAGCACCTGGATTTTCTGGACATTCTTCTTTGTAGCAAGGTAAGCGTTTGAGATGATTGCACCAAATGCCAAAGAACAGAACTGTGTGGCACTGAGGGGGCATCAGCACAAAGAAGGGGAGCACAAGAGACACCAAATCATACAAGTCCTTTGGGTGTAAAAACAAAAGACCTGTGTGCTTGGGAATGACATGCTCTCCTCTTTCTTAGGATGAGAATGGAGTTGGACTGTCTGATGAGGACCTGCGTGCTGAGGTGGACACCTTCATGTTTGAGGGCCATGACACAACAGCCAGTGGCATCTCCTGGCTCTTCTACTGCATGTCACTGCACCCTGAGCACCAGCAGCGCTGCAGGGAGGAGATCCAGGGCATCCTGGGGGACAGAGACACCATTGAGTGGTGAGCTAGGCCTTCTTACTCCTTCATCTTGAACTCTTTTAATTTACCCTTGAAGCTCTTGGACATAGTCCCCCCCCCAACATTCTTCTCCCTAAATTGGAAGGAGAAGGATTTGATGGGTGGACTGTTCAGTAGTTGAGGGATTGTTTGGAAGGTGGCATCCAGTGGGTGGTGGCCAATTGTCCAGATCAGTGACAAGTGGTTTCCCCCAGGGGTCTGTACTGGGACAGACCAGTAACACCTTTGTCAAAGACATAGACAAAGGGATTGAGTGCATCCTCAGCAAGTTTGCTTTCAGGGAGGATCTTGGGAAGATGACCTACACCACGATGTGCATCAAAGAGAGCCTACGCCTGTTCCCGCCCGTTGCTGGTGTGTCCCGAGAGCTCTCCAAACCCGTGACATTTCCTGATGGACGCAGCTTGCCAGCAGGTTTGTTGAGTTTGTCCATCCTTCATGCTGCTGTCTGTGACAAGGGGGCCTTCCTTGCTCTGTGTGGAGGGGCTGGAGGGTCTTCCAGACTCCCTTCTCTCCCTGTAGCTGTATGGAGCTACCACAGCTTGCTCCCACAGTGAGCCTGGAAAGGGTGGCCAGGCAGAGTCCAAGGATGTGCTCCAGAGCTCAGAGGGGACTGTGGAGTGTTGTTCCTGGCCAAGTGAAAGTGACACACTGATAGAAAAAAAAGGGACCCAGCTCTGAGATCTTTGTTTTTGATGTGTGAAGTGTTCAGGAGATCCCTGCCAGATCTCCTGCAACAGCCCCTGCAGAGCCCAGGGAGGGAGAGCATCCCAAAAACACCTCTCCTGCATTTTCACTCTGAGCTGTCATGAGCTTTTCCTCACTTTTCTTTTACAGGCTGCCAGGTTGGATTGAGCATATTTGCTATTCACAGGAACCGGGATGTGTGGGAGGACCCTGAGGTATTTCACCCTGATAACAAGAAAGGAAGGATGGTCTCTGAGCCCAGATCCCTTGAAGAAGGCAGCCTGTGCCTCCCTGCTATGCTTTTTTTATTTTCCCCTTGTCATTCCAACAGTACACATCTAAATACAAAGTTCAATCGAGTCACCAAACACCCCAAAGGCTTTGAACATGACAAAGGGCTGGGAAAGGGTGTTCAACAGTCTCTCTTTGTGCATGGGGACACAGAGATGCTCTGGCTGCTTCCAGCTGCCCTGCACACATTTAGAATGGTATGACAATTCCCAAGCCCCATGAGAGAGTGTGTGATCTGAAGAGGAAATTTTAGAGGCTTCAAGACATAACTGGAAAGTTTGAAGAAGGCTGCATAGCTGCCTCTCTCCAGGCTGTCTGGAGAGCCAGGATCGGGCATCTCTGGAATGGAGGGATCCTGGAATGGATGAGAAAACCCTTGCAGGCACCTTGGGCATTGCAGTGGGTGACCTGGGCATGTCCAAGGGGAGGATCCACTCAGTGGCTTTGTAGAGAGATGACTGCCATCTGCAGCTCCCCCAGGAGGAGCAGAGGCCACATCCAGCCCTAACCTGGGCACCAGGGAAGGACCTGGTGCTGCTCAGATCACACCAGACACTGACCAGATGGTCCTTGTTGCTCCCACAGGTTTTTGATCCCCTGAGGTTTTCTCCAGAGAAGTCAGCACAGAGGCACTCCCACGCTTTCATGCCTTTCTCTGCTGGATCCAGGTGGGAGATCCTTCATCCCTCTCCTTCCTCTCAGGCTGCCTTGCATGTGAGACCTAGCTCAGATGTGAGCTCCTAAGGCCAATCCTCCCTCAGTCTCCACAAGCCAGGCTGGCTTGGCCAACTCAAGCAGGCTTTCCATAACAGGATCTCCTCTAACAGGATTTCCATGCTCCATCAGCTCTGTGGTCACTGTAGGATTTCACACATTTTTTCCTGTGGCTTTGTGGAGATGTTTAGATTTTCTGTTGCCTGGATTGGGAACACCACCCCCTTGTTTAGGGGTGAGTCCCAGAGTACCTCAAAGCCAAGGGGGCCATGTCTCCATGGGTCCCATGCTGTATCAATAGACAGATGTAGGATACTGAGGCCTCAGTAGCTTGCAAGAGGATCACCTCACAGAGCCAGAAATAACCTTTTGGAGGTGTCTGGGCTTTTATCTGGATCCTGGCTACACTTCCTAGTGAAGTAAGACCCTGTTCTCTCAGTCTCATATCTTTCTTCAATGTTTAATAATAAAATAAATAGCAATACCCCACCACAGAGCTGGGTGCATCAGGGGCTTACTAGATAAGCTGTAGTGTCATCCTCACGGGAGCTGGAGGTGCCCCAGCCCTCACATGGGGTGAGTCCAGCTCGGGGGTGGCTGGGGCCAAAGGCAGCAATCAGAGCATGTGTCCATGTGTCCCCTCCCTGCAGGAACTGCATTGGGCAGCAGTTTGCCATGAATGAGCTGAAGGTGGCCCTGGCATTGACCCTGCAGCGCTTTGAGCTCTACCCAGACCCATCCAAGCTTCCCATAATGATACCACAGATCGTCCTCAGGTCCAGCAATGGGATACACCTGCATTTGAAGAAGATTTTCTGATCCCACAGGGTACTGTGGCAGGTGGGAAAGAGCTCTCCCAAGGGACACCCTCCACCCAGAGGTTTAAGAGGGGATCACCAAACAGACCCACAGTGGAGCTCTCCCACATTAACCCCTGTCCCACCATCATCCAGAGGGGCTCGCTGAGCCCACAACCACCAAACCCAGCAGGTTCTGTTCCCCTCCTTGCCAGGGGAGAAGCACTGCTAAGGGGGTTCCACAGCATTGCTGTGGCTCATCCTTCACCTCCAGGGCATCCTCCATGTCCTGCTCATCTCCAACCTGCCCTCACACTCTCCCTGACAGGACTGCTGTCCCCTGCCTGTAGATTTGTCCCATTGTCAGTTCCCCACTGGGCTTGGCAGTGAACAACACCCAGCCTGGTTTGCAGGGATGCCTAAAGCCTGGGCACTGCCCCAGCACAGCCCCTGCCCTGCCTCCAGCCTGGGTGTGCCTGGCCAGGAGGGCCCTCCCTGCATCCCCACACCACCCTCCCAGCAATTCCTGCTCTGGGGCTGGCACTGTGCCCACCATTATGGAGATGAATGCTTGTGGTTCTTTTCTGCCCCAGCTCTGAACTTCCTTGAGCCGAGGGCGCTCAGGAGCCAGCACAGAAAATGCCACCAGCTAACCTGAGGAAGCACTTGGCACACTGGAAACAGCGTGTGACCTGCATTGTTCTCCTCTCTGAAATGAAAATAAAGCCTTGTGGGGATGAGCTCCAAGCATGACTTTGGCTTCCTTTGCATTTGGAGGCCCAGCAGGGTGCAAGAGGAGTCCCAGCAGGCCAGAGGCAAGGCTGTGCAGTGCTGTCAGTGTTTTCTCAAGCCACAAGCACTATTTCTATGCACCCTGTTGAGCCTGTTTCCACAGATCCCACACCATCCATCACCTCACCTGAGACTCCAGGCGTTTCCAGTAAGGAAACAACTGAAATGATCTGTGCTCAAACAAAGCAAAACACAAATACCACAAAACTGCTGGTGGTAAGAACAAAGTCAGCTTGCAAAATAAAACAAGAAAAGATGTGAGCTTGCTTCAAACCCTGTCCTGCAGAGGCTGGGAACTGACTGCTCAGTTCCAGGGTGGCCCAAGGGGTGCAGGTGAGCCCTGGCCCTGGAATTGGGTTTGTGGTGGGGGTACAGGGAGCCTTTCCCCAGCACCAGTCCAGGTGGACCATCGGGATGAGCTGCAGGTCCAGGGTGTGCAATGGATCAGTAGGTGGCAGTGGGAGACCCAGAAAAATCCTCCCTGGTCCCTGGTAAAGGCCCCGGGCCTGGCAGGCAGCACAGCCAGGCCCAGCAAGGCAGAGGATGTGTCCTGTCCCTGGGGATGTCCCTGTCCCCACCCTCAGCAGAGCAGCCACGCTGTCAGAGTCCCCCGTGGGTCTGGGCATTGCCCAAAGCCCAGGGCGAGTTTGTCACTGCCCCGAGGGCCCGGGCACCCAGCGGGCAGCAGGGGACACTGAGGCACCAAGGCCTGCATGTGAGCCGTGCCATGGTGACAGACAAGGCTGTGCAGCTTTCACCCCCAGTGCTGGCATCACAGAATCACTGCAGGCACCAACACATCCAAACCGTGTCTGTCTGCCTGTCTGTCTGCCTGAGCAGCTCTCTGCTGATGGCCAGATCACCACAGTCAAACCTGGGCATCTCCCCATCCACTGAACTCCTGCAGCCCTCCTGCTCCCCATCTCTGCTGCCTGCTGCATGCCCAGTTTGAGAAAAAACATTGTGCTCAGGCTGGACCCAGACCTTTGTTTTGGCTATGTGGGTACCAAAAGGGACAGGGACGCTGAGATTAACCAGCAAGGTGCAGCTTGTGTTTATTTTGCAAGGCAGCTGAAGACCAAGTCCCTCTTCTCCCAGCCCTCTCCTTCTCACCCTCAGAGGGAGGCTGGGTGCAGGTTGTGCAGATGCCAGTGCCACCACCCTGGCACCGCTGCTGGGCTCAGGTCTGAAAGGTCAGAGTCCTGCTGTGCTCCTCCCCAGCTCCAGCACAGCCAGGCCTTCAGAGGGCAGTGGTTTAAAAACACCTTTTTGTTACTGAAAAATTCTATTTGTCAGACATTTGAGCCACCCATCTGGGAAGAGGCAAACCACCTGGAAGCTCTGCTCATCTACTCTCCAGCAGGTGGTCCAAGAAAGGAGCTTTGGGTGCTCTTGGCCACAAAGACCCATCCCAGTCTCCTTGGTGGGCTCCAAAAGAAACCTGGGGGCACTTAGAGGTGTCACTGCAGCATCTTCTGGTTTGGGAATGGGGGGTAGGACCCCCAGCTGCTGCCCACCCCATTAACTGTACAGTGCCCTGTGTTTTGGGGCCATCTCCCTGTTCACTGCCAGGACCAAAACTGCCCATTTGGTTTCCAAGAGTCCTTCTGATTGCTAGATTGTTATGAATGGCCAACCCCAACCACTTTCAGCAGAGACTTTCTCCAGGGAAACTGCTCTTGGTAATCTGCTTGGGAGAGAGAGGAGAAACTGCTGACATTTTTGATGCAAAAAAAATGGATTGTTATTCCAGGCAGTTGTGACAGTAATTGAGCTAAGCAGAGCCAAACACTTTAAAATCTCCTCCTGTTAAGATTCATGCTTAAACCAGGTTTGCAGTTCGAAGGGCCAAAGCTTTTGAGGGAAGGTCTCACAGCACCAATGCGCCGTGAAGCCCTAATGCAGCAGGAGAAAACTCTTCCAGTTTTCAGCTTAGCCAGGTCAAACTGAGCAGCACAAACATCCCCCCACCTTCAAACCGTGGCAGTTTCTGGACAGCAGCTTGTACAAGATAACCTCCTCTGCCAAGGCAGCCCCAAACGGCTGGGAGAGCAGCAGAGGAGCAGTGTGAGAGCGGGGCAGCAGGCAGTGACACAGATCTAATCGCCCATTTGCCCCGAATATCTCCGTGGCAGGCAGTGACATTTCTGCGCTGTCTCAGCTCGCTCCTCCGTCACCATGGCTACAGCAGCCGCCAATCCAGGGCGAGCCCTTCCCGAGTACCACAAATCCTCTGGGAGATGCTGGCAGAGCCAGCCCCTTTGGCACGGAGACACCTCGGGGACCCCGGGACAATCCACAGCACCAAAAATTTCCCTTTTCCTTTTTTCCTTTCTCCTTTTCATTTTCTCTTTTTCTTTTCCTTTTTTTTGTTTTCTTTTTTTTTTTTTCTTTTTGAAGCACAAACAATGGAGCTAAAAGGTTGGGTATCAGGCCGATAATCATGAATGACGTGTCGTTATTACACACCACACATCCATTATCTCCCACTCCAGCCATGTCACAGGCGGCTGGAGGAGGGCAGATAACGGGGTGCCTTCATGCAGATGGCTTATTATCAGGATGTTCCAGGAGGGGCTTTAAGACAGTTAGTGATGCTGTTTGCCAGTTAAAGATTAGAGACCCCAGAGAATAATTAACAATCCCAAAACCCAGTTTTTCTGCTGGATTCTTCAGCTTTCTCCCCCCTCCCCCATTCTCTTTAATCTATTCACTCTAGCAGGTGTAATAAAGTGATAAGGACAGGCTCCGGGGATGTTTGTTTGGCTACTACGGGTGTATAAACCCACAATGGATGGCATTTTTCTTCCGGCTTTCAGGGGCTTGAATCGAGACCAAAAACTTTGCAGCCCCCTTGCCCACACACAGCCACCCCTCCACGCCGTGCTCCTGGATTCCACCTGGGTGGCTGGGCTTCTTCCCCACCCAAAGGACCACCCAAAGGCTGGGACAGGCTCCCTTTTTTCCTCTGGAGATCCAAATCACACCTCCTGGGTGTCAAGGTGCCCAAGGCCGGGATATAAACCTGAGGTTTGCTCAGGTGCAGGGATAGAGCTGCTTCCAGCAGCAGTTTACCTGAATACAGCAAGTCTGTAATTAAACTATTTTGGGATAGTTTATATCATAGGTGTCCACCTGCCCAAACTGCTGCAGTTACAGCTGAAACATCTCAAACCTTCATAGCTAAAGAGCCTCAGGAGAGACTGGGGAAGCATCAGAGTAAAGGTGGCTTCCAACAAGATATCTCATTATCTGGGGTTCCAAGAGATGTGCTGCACCCTCCTAGGTCACAAAGAAAAGTCGTGATACACCTTGTAACAAAGTGGATATGCAAAAACCCCCCCCCACCCTGAATATCTTCTGCCCCAAAGGAGACCATCCTGTCAGCAGCAGAACACAACCCTGGAGATCTTCCTGAAGCCCAAGGCTTCAGAGATAATGGCATTATGGAATGGGGGGGATAGGATGGAGAACTCGTGGTGTCCTTACCCTTCACTGGTAGGCGTGGGGAGGCTTGTGAAGGACACCTTCATCCCCCTGTGCTGTTGGAGAGAGGTATTGGAGGGGATTTGGCCCTCAGGCAAGTTAGCTTTGGGCCCTTCAGAGAGGTCTGTGAGGCTGTGGGAGGTGCCCCTCACCTGGGGGTCTCAGGTAGAGCCTGGACTCTGGAGGACATTCCCCAGCTCACGGGGGCTGTGTGGAAGGCACGAGCACTGGAACACCAGAAGTTGTCTTCCCAATCACGCTCATCCTGCCAGGGAGGGATGAGACAGCATTGTGCCTTAAAGAGCATCCCCACCCTATCAGCAAGAGATGAGATATCCTAATTATGGCAGTACAGACGAGGATCTGGGCTGTATCAGCCAGCACAGAAAGGTAAACAAGAAATATAACAATGGACCCTTAACACTCATTAGCTGTGTCAGATAATACCTCACTTTTCCCCCTTTGGGGCTTAAAATCTAATTAAGATTTTCCAACAATAAATTTCATTTATGCTCGCTCCCTTTTGTTCTTTTTAGGATCACACCGAGAAGCGTTTGCGAGCGACTGCACAGCTCGAGGGAAGGCAGCTTCAGTCAGCCTCAGCTTCTGCTTCACACAGACAAGGGAAACTGAGGCAGGACAGCACCCTGGGCAGTGCAGAGGTGAGATCCTGCTAGGACATAGCACTGGCCCCCGCACAAGGTGCTTTCCCCAGGGAAGGGAACTCCAAAGGGGCTCTGGTTGTGATAAGACCAAGCAGGAAAGCTCCTGGGCAAGCCCAGCAGTGAAGCCTTGTCCTTGCTCAGACTCACAGCCTGGCAGGGATCCTTGGGGAAAGGGACACTGAGATGAGGCCCTCTGAGCACACCTGCACTCCAGCCCCACATCCAGGCATTGCAGGGTGAGCAGCTCGGGCATCTCTCACACATTCACTGTGTACACAGAGCAGGGAATGAACTCCTGTTGTTACTCATTATAAGGATGACATTGTTAACTTCTTTTGCAACTGAGAGGTAAAAAATTAATGGGTTCCCTTCCTCTTGCCACACCCCCAGCCCAAGTGCTGACAGGGCAGGAACAGGCAATGACTAATCCTTAAACCCTGCTGAGTACAGCAGTACCACTGAACCTTGGGGAGCTTGGTTTTCTCCAAACCCACGTGATGTTTGGCACCTGTGAGAGGAAAGTCAGGGGAGCAGCATCCATCAGGGGCACAGCTGGGGTGCTCCAGGACCCAGCCTGGGGCTGGCTCAGCCTCCAGCTACCCAAGGGAGGATGGTAGATGGCAACAGCTCTGATGTGCTGTTGGGGATGCAGCCATCCTGCCTTCATATCTGAGGGCTTGACCCCTCTAACCCTTCTGCCTGTTTTCTTCTACTCCCATCCAATTTCTCAATGGGAGCTGTGATTTCTCAATGCCAAGGCTTTGAGGGCATTTTCAAAATACTCACCTACCTCAGGCTCTAGGGAAAACACCTTTTGAGGTGGGGCTGTTACTGAAGACATCTGCCTGAATTTTTGTGTCTCCACTTGCTAGGGACATCAGCAGCCTCAGCTGTGGGAAGTGCACAGCAGAGCCCTAGAAATACCTCACTCCCAGGGGCTGCCAAAAATGCCCTCTTATAAATCTCCCACCCCAGTGCTGCCCCAGCTGGGCTGCCCTTGGTTGCAGAGTCTTTCTTCACTGGTCAGGAAGAGGACCCTTCATGCCACTGGAGTAACTCATGCTCCAGGAATGGCCAAAGCATCAGAGGTCTCTCATTTCAATCTTCAAATGCCACAGCTTAGAAACACTTGTTGCTCCCATGGTGGCCCTGGCACTGCCCCCACCACAGCAAGAGGCAGACCCTGGTTAATGAGCAGCCTGGCAGGAGCAGGTTGCACCATGGCCAGATGCCCCAGGATAGCCAGCACTAGCCAGAGTGGCCCCCAGCCACCTCCTGGCAGCATTGATCAATGACTGCCATGCCTCCAGCCTGGAAATGGCTCCCAGTTGGCTGTAGGGCTGCACACTGGGGTCAGTGGGATTCAGGGAGTGCTGCCTTTCACCCATTAAGCAGCACTGAGAAGTGCTGGGTTGTTTCTGTGGCTCAGTAACCCCACCTGGCAAACGGAGGGGAATGATGCTCTCACTTCCCTGTAAATCCCTTTGAGGCTTTGGGGCAGTCCAAATGCTGAGCATTCCCTGATGTCCTTCATTCTCCCAACTGCCTGAAGGCTGGGAGAGCTGTGAGATGCCAGAAAGTCCTTTGGCTGATTAGCAGAACGACCCTCTTGGCTGTCATAGGCAACAATTCTCTTTATTGCTCACCGGGAAGATATGTACAGAGGGGGAGGCTTGTTCTGACATTAAAATGCATGGTGTAGGTCATAAAAAGGAGGGTGAACTGGGGAGAAAAGAGTAGGTTTTCCATCAGCAGCTCCCTGGAGGGCAGCTGGGAGCATGGGGATGTCCCAGGCACCCAACAGGATCCCCTCTGTGTCTTGAACAGGTCAACACCCTCCTGGGACTTGAGACAACCAGGTGGGGTGACCACCAGGCAGGAGAGGTGGCACCTCCAGACCCCTCCTGGGAACTGATGCCTGTGTGGACAGCAGCCCCAGAGGGACAAGAACATGTCCCACGGGTGGAAAAGGAGAAGATGAGGAGGTGGTGGTGCTGTGGAGAGGCCAGGGCCCCTCAGTCCCGGGGATGCCAGTGCAGAGGGTCTCTGTGAAAGCGCCCATCGCAGCAGCGGGAAGCGGATGGAGGGCAGAGGAGGGTGGTGGATGGGTGCTGCTACATGGCCGTGGTGATCACCTTCTCCTCGGGCTCCACGGTGTTCTCGTAGGCGTGCTGGTTCTCTTTGGACCTGCACCAAGAGGGACAAGTGCAATGCTGAACTCAATCCCAAGACCAGCATCCCCAAAGCCACCAGTGGTGTCCTGACCCTGCTGGTGCCAGCTGTGCACAGAGTGAGGGGTGAGATGGGGACCACAGGACGGGTCACCCTGAAAGGACCAGAGCCAAGTGTGGGGTGGGAATTGCTCTAATTGTTAGTGAGGGCTGTTTTGGCTGTCACCATCCATGTGGTGACTGGTGGTCACTTTTGGTGGTTTCCTCTTTTGGAAATCTGTGACCTAGCACAAGAAAAATGTGGTGTAGCAGGTTGTGAGGTGGTGGATGGATTGTGGGTCTCAGCTGCAGGGATAGGGAGAGATGAGGGAGAAGGGGATACTCCCTCACTGCCTTGGGCTTAGCCCCTGGAAAGGTTAAAAGCCCCAAAAATAGGTGCATGGGACGTGGGTGAGACCACAGCTCTGCATGTCTGAGCTGTCCCCAGGGGAACAGAGCAGAGCCTGGGAGCCATGGGGAAGAAGTCTGAGCAGATCCTTCACCTGAAGTCAGCTGCAGCTGATACGTATCTGCCTTCATGGCCGTTGGACATGACAGCATCTGGCTTGTCCTCCACGCTCACCACGTTCTCAGCACTTTCCCTGCAGGGAGGGAAGAGAGGAGTTTGCAGGAGCACCCAAGGAGCCGTGCAGGGCAGCAGCCCCTTACTGGTGATGACACCACAGAGACAATAAACGACCTGGATGTGATTCTGTCCTCACACACCCTGCTCAGCCTCCTTCCCAGCAGGACAAGGGCAAGGAGAAACACCCTCCCTGCAGGTTTGCAGAGGCTGTGCCAAGTGCCAGCCCCTGTTCCCACAGCAGTGGCTCCCAGCACCCTGCTGGCAGTCAGCAGAACTCATTGTCAATACGTGGGATTGTTTCCTCCTGCTAACTGGTTTTTCCAGTCTACTTCTGTGCAATCTGTAACAAAATAGTCCCTGTGGATCCCGATGGACACAGAGAGAGCAGCCAAGGCTCCGCTGGTGCCTCAGCCCTGGCGCAGGAGGGCTGTCCTTGGGCACATCCATGTGAGCAAAGCAGAGCTGCTCTCTCTCAACAGTGAGCCTGGATTGCTTGCAGAAGGAGGCACTGGGCAGGGATGGGGTGTTTGGAGCCAGACTCCAAAAGCTCTGGAATGAGCCTGTAGCCTGAGCAGCGCCGCGGGTTTAGCAGCAGAGGGTGGGTGCAGGTCCACCCTGCATGCACGGCCCTGCCTCCTCCAGCACCTGCCCAAGGGCAATTTCAGAGGCTTTTCCAGGGAACAGCCTGGCACAAACAGGCAGTGGCTCGAGCTGATAGCTGCTGTCACAGTGACAGCACAGAGCTGGCAGGGCTCCAGGCTGCCGAGCCTCGCTGCTGCTCTTCTGAAGAAAGGCCAGATTAATTAAAACAAGGCACCTTCCCTCCTCAAGCCCTCCTCAGCATCCTCTGCCTCCAGGCTGGGAAAAGGCAGCCAGGCACGGGCAGCAGTGGGAAACACCACTCCTGCCTGCCACTCCATGGGCTGGGGGTTCCTTCAGTGTGAGGACAAAGGTTCCTCTTTGGGAAACAAAGACCACAGTGGCAAATCAGACCACATAAATATATATATACACATGTTGTATCATGCATTGGCTCAGAATGCATCCCAAAGGGATCTGCTTAAAATGCCTCTGGGGCTAAAGCTGACCTACAGATGCTCAGAGTGTAAGCCAGCTGCCCACCTCCCCAGCCTGGAGAGGCTGCAGGAACATTCAGGTTCAAGATTCCATCCTAAAGCAACCCCACCAGTGCAGAGGGACCAGGAAACAGATGTGGGGTGCCTTTGGTCTTCATCCCCTGCTGCCTTTGGGCTCAGGTTCAAGATCAGGTTACTGCAACTTAGCCAGCTGGCCTTGCTCAGCTGAGCAGGAGCAGCAGCCTGTGACTCTGCTTGGCCAAGGCAAGAGTTAACCCATCCCACAGAGCCTTTTTCAGATGAATAAAGACACCACATTGGCCTGTGCCATGGGCTCCAGGTGGAGGGTACTGCCAGTGCCACTATCTCCCTTTTCTCCCAGCTCCTCTCAGTGTGTTCTCACAACTTGGTTCTGTCTGCTTTGCAAAAAAAGCTGGTTCAGGCCTTATCCCATGGACACAAGGCACATGGGAGCTGCACCCCCAAAAGCCACGGAAAGCCAGGCTGGGCCAGGTCCCTGAACACGCTCCTATGTGGTCCAGCCACGATGCCGTGGCTTTGCCATTCCCAGCCCAGTGCTTTCTTTTCTCATGGCAGCATTTGTAGGGTGCAAGCTCCCACCTGGCAATCAGTAACAGGGATCACAGACCAGGAAAGGGACAAAAGGACAGGGAGATGAGGACAAGGAGTCTTTGCTCTCCCAGCACAGCCAGCATGGTGTTCCCAATGCTGGCACTCACACAGAGGCTGCTGGAAGGGACACGTGCAGCTCAGCCCAGCTCAGAGCCACCTCCCACACTTACACTTTGTCCTTACACCAGAACCTGTTGACCACGAAAGCGATGGCCACCAGCACTAGGAACACAACCACTGCAATGACACCCTGGGACCACGGCTGGAGGCTGCCCCGGGCTGCAGGGAGAGAACAGGACACGGTTAGAAATTCACCCTCAGCCCTCATCTGCCCAGCTCCTCCCATCCAACTTCAGCAAGCTCCAGATGAGAGCTTGATCCTGCAAATCCGAGCAGAATGTTGGTGTGGGTGCAGGCAGGCTCACCTGGGTGATAGCAATGAAATAAAATACAATTAACAGAATTTTCACTGGTGTTTGCATGTGGAGTGTGGTGCCTGGCAGCTTTGGGGCCCCATATCCACTGACATCCACATACAAATACATAAACATTCACCCTGGGGGGCTGGTGACCCTGTGATGAGGGAGAAAAGGCCTGGGGGACATGGAGGAAGGGAGAGAAGGAGAATGTTTGCCAAATGAAGGAAGGCAGAGGGGTTCCAGCAAACTGCTTATTCTCTGTCCCCAGATGCCACAGACACCATTCCTGGGATATTTTCCAGATACTGACTGATAAAATAAGGACTCTAGCAGGGAGAGTGTTAGATTGGGTTGCCACTCCCACTGCAAAAAGTTGTCATGGTGGATTTTGGTAAAATGCACCATCCAACAAGTTTCCAGAGCAACAAATGATTTATGACGGAAATTGAAGGCTGAGGCATTCAGAGGAATAACCTCAGCACAAAGAACAGGTGGGGCTGGCAGGAGCCCAGGCAGCATTGGGGTGGAGAGTGGGAGCTGGCTGGGATAGCCCCATTTGCCCCAGGGGTGGAACAGACTGACAGGTTCATTTTTCTCTATCCAGACCTAAGCAGGAATCCAGCCACAGGTGGGAAGGCTGTGAGACACATTCCTGGATGTGGGCAGGATGCAAGGGCAGGCAGTGAGAAGAGGAAACCTTGTCCCAGCCCTTGCTGGGATGGCTGCTCCTTGCCTCCCACTGGATTTTGGACAATGGAACACTCAAAGTAGTCAAACCCATCCTAAAGTGGCGTCACATCGGCACTAAAGGACACCTTGTCCACACAGCCTTTGAGATATAATTGGTATTTACTCAGACCCAGCTTTTCCTCACCTGCTGATCAGAACAGCAACCCCTGCACATGCCCTGGTCCCTCTGCAGGGGCAGCAGGGGCAGGTGCAGGGTGACACCTGCCAGCCCCAGCAGCAGCCTCAGGACACTCAGACCCAGCCAGGGACACCTGCAAGGCTGAGCTGCCCCAGGATGAGCAGTGGATGCTTCAGTCCCCCTCAGGAACTCTATACTGAATGCTCCCTCTGTCTCACAGGAGACAAGCCTCTGCTATAAAGAGAAAATAATCTTTACTAGCAGTGGTAAGAGTAGGCTGCATGCTCCACACGTGCCAACTCCTACCCCACAGACAGCTTCACACTGGCTCTGCTGCTAACAGCTCTCTTCTCCCTCTGATTTTGGGGAGGGAGACTGTCCTTTGGTAACACCCCCAGCTCCTGGAGTCTTTACTACAAGAGACTTTAATTTAAAAAATAATAAATAAAACAACAGCCAACCTCAACCCCCAAAACACGGCTCTTTTTTTCCTCTTGGAAGTGCAATCAGCCTGGCCAGCTGACTGACCAGAAGTGCCAGTCTGGAAAGCAGTGGCACTGCTGGGCAAGGGGCTGTGAGAACAGCCCTGAGTAGCATCTCTCAGCCCCCTCTCTCCACAGAGACATTTGTCGTGTTTCTGCAAGGTCCCAGGGCAGAAACTCAAGCAGGAGGAGCTCAGATGGAAATTCTCTCTCATATCAGTGTGTTTCCACTGAAACACCATTGGATCAGCAGGCAGCCAGGGGTGGTGGCTGTGGGGAGAGCAGATCTCAGTCCCCTCCTGTCCTACCTGGTGGTCAAGGATGCTCCTGCCCTGCTGCCCACCACTCACCTCTGTGAGTGCAGCCCCAAACACACCTATTGCCTCCTGGCTGAATTTTGGCTCACTCTGCATCCTCCCTCACTCTGCCCTTGGCTGCTGGCCACATTTATTTATTAGTTGTAGTTTATTTTTCCTGCCAGACCCAGGGTTTCCAGCCTAAGCCTGGGAGGGTGGGGGAATGGTCAGGTCCAGCCCTTTGTGAGGTTCCTGCTGGGGTTAAGGAAGTTCAAGGGCAGCCAGGGAATGAAGTCAGCAATGACTTAAACTGCCAAATTTGCATCTTGTGATCTTCCAGGAAAGGAGGGGGGAAGAAAAAGGAGGTAGCAGACCTCCTTGGAGCAAGCATGCTCAGGAGGTACTGGATGGTTTTGTGAGTGAAATCTCACTCCTGTGGCTGTTTCCACCAGATTCCAGAGCATCCAAAGCCAAAAGGGAAAACACCAAACCCAAATCAAGGGTTTCTGGCTTTCAGAGATCATGTAGGGCCTGGCTGCAGGGGGAGATAAGGACGGTAGGGGAATGGCAAATGCCTTTGCATTGGGCTGAAATACCCGCTGGGAAGCTTGCACGGGCATAAGAAAGGAGGAATAGGGATCAGGCAGGAGCAAGAGCTTGATAGGATCTGTTCAGGGAGTAAAGGTTTGGGTCCCAGCCCTCCCTCAGGGGCACTGCCTGGCTGCAGTCCCACCAGCACACCTTGCTGCCCTGCCAGGAGGGATGGCTGAAAGGATGAGTCTCACCTGTGCAAACAGGGCTGTGTTCCTGGAAAAATGCTTCACCAGGGATGCCCCTCCTGGGTCAGCCTGTCCCTCGAGCTCTGCCACCTCCTCTCTGGGTTTCCCCATAGTAATGATGGGGTTTCCCCCCACAAACAAGATCTCTGAGGCCAAGCTAAGCAGCGTGGAATCTGCAGCCCTGGCAGATGTGTCTCCTCACATCTGCAGCTACAAACCAGACCAAGAAAAGTGCTGGTGCCAAAATAGGCCACTGCACTTGTTGCAATTCCATTTCCACACTCAACAGCTAATTTGAAGACACAGACCTGTTTTTTAATGCATCTTCTCTGAGTGTTTGGACAGCTTTGGCTGGCCTGCCTTTTCTGCTGTCTAAGGAAGCTGTGCCAGGCTCTGAATCCTCATTAAAGGATTTTTTTTTCTTTACTCTTTCCAAGCAAAACTTTCAACCCTGCTGACAATGGACACTCCAGACTGTTCAATCCTCAGCAAGCTGGTAAACAAACACAGGAAGAGCGGTCAGGGCTGGGGCATCAGGAGGAGAAAGAGGGAGGGAATTTTCCGGGACTTGGGCAGCACCAGATGAGTTTTAATTACTCCTCATTATTTCTAGCACTAGAGAAGCCCTTAGTGATTTTCCTAAAAATAATACCCTAGCACAGGAAGTTTCTCTGTTAAGTCTTTGGGAAGAGAAGAGGAGGTCAACTTGCTGAGGAAAATATTTGCTCCTTCTCCTCAGCAATGATCAAAATTACAGATTAACAGGAGGATCAGAGAGCGCAGGGAGCAACCCAGAACAACACTTGCTCAAGGATAAGAGTGAGAAAAAAGAAAGAAAGAAAAAAGCCTTAAGAAAACAGATTGCTCATCTCGGTGCACAGTCCTGCCAGAGGTAAAGCAGAGCAGTTTATCTCTGTGCAAGCACCTCAGATAAACCTCAGGTGGCAGTTCTGCAAAACAGGTAGAGAGTCTCTATATCCCAGCTCCAGCAAAACCTCACGGACACCCACCCATCCAGAGCTAAGCTCAGGAAGGAGCAGGGATGAATTTTCCCTCCCGAAGACACTCTTGCACTGTTGTCCCTTGTCCCCCACCAGCAGCTCCCACCTGCCGGGGGCTCGCTGCCTTTCCCTGCCTTTGTTTCCCGAGAGGTCAGGCCCTTACCTTGCTGGCAGAAGGCAGCTGGCAGCTGCAGGAGCAGCCCCAGGAGCAGCAGGCAGCGGGCGGGCATGGTGGCAGCGGGGCCGGGCTGTGCAGGGAGAGCCGGGCACGGAGCAGGGAGAGCCGGGCACGGAGAGCAGGGCACGGAGAGCAGGGAGAGCCGGGCAGGGAGAGCAGGGCACGGAGAACAGGGCACGGAGAGCAGGGCAGGGAGAGCCGGGCACGGAGAGCAGGGAGAGCCGGGCAGGCAGAGCCGCGCACAGAGCTGGGCACGGAGATCAGGGCACGAAGAGCCGGGCACGGAGAGCAGGGCACGGAGAGCAGGGAGAGCAGGGCACGGAGAGCAGGGAGAGCCGGGCAGGCAGAGCCGCGCACAGAGCTGGGCACGGAGATCAGGGCACGAAGAGCCGGGCACGGAGAGCAGGGCACGGAGAGCAGGGCAGGGAGAGCAGGGCACAGAGAGCCGGGCACAGAGCCCTGCCGCAGGAATGAGCTCCTGGTCAATTATCAAACGCCCCAAGGAGGAAGGCCGATGCTCTCTCTCACCTGGTTATTCAAATCCTGCTGCGGGAAGGAGGCGCCTCTGCGCCCTGTCCCGCCAAAGCCGGAGGGGAATTCCGGGCGCGGTGACTTGAACCTGACAGTCCCCTTAGGTGGGGCGTGGGAGGCAGGCACAAAACAGGCACAAAACAATTGCGTCGGCCCAGGAGGGAAAAAACGAGACCCAGGTGGGTCAAACTCTTCCCCAGTGAAGAGGAGCGTGGTGTCCCCCAGGTCCCCTCCCCACAGGAGGAGAACAGGGGGATCCCAGCAATGCCCCAGCTCTGACATCCCTTCCCACCCTGTGGGACCCCCACTCACTTCCCTGCTTTTTCTTTTCAACAAGTGTCACTAATAACCCAGCAAAACACATTTGTGACTCTAAGACATTCAATTAATAGAGCAGATTCTGTGCTGGGCACTGCCTCTCACCTCCCACGCCTTGTTTAATGGTGACACTATTAAACAGAGCAGCATTCATTTTATTGAGTCATCAGGGCTGGCCCCAAAATTTCTTCAGTACCAGGAGAGGTAGAAACAGCCAAAGAGCTGCAGCAGGCCTCGAGGCTTGCCCTTCACAAAAGCTGCACAAATGCTGCAGGACAGAGAAAGTTGCAGGTCCCGAGTTAAGCAGTTTTCCAGTCCATGTCAGGTTTGGATGACTGGCAAGCTCACCCCACAGGAAGAATAAAAGATATTTGGCTTCACAGCTGAGAAACTTCAGTTGCTTCTGAAGGAAATTATGAAGTTGTGAGCTGGGGGTTCCATTGTCACTCTTCTTGTGGTGTGTCACAGCATCTTTGAAACCCCACAGCAGCATCTGAGCCCCCGACTTCTGGGTCTGGTGATTTCCATTCCAGGGACCCTGCCTGGGTGCTCCAAATAACACTTTATCCCATGGGACCCATGTTCAGGAATGTGCAGCACCCTCAGAAATGCACACTCACTGGAGGAAGACTGCCTTCCTCCACCTCAACTCTTTACCCTGTATTTACAGTAATATCATTTATCCTGAACACAAACCAGGCCTGACTTTGAGCTGTATAATATTGAAGGCCAGTTCCCAACTCTTTCCCAAATTCCTTTCCACAGCCAGACCCCCAGCTGCAGTGTGGGATAACCCCACTGCCAACCCCACTAATTTTTCCTTGTGAAATCAGTGGTGCAGGGACTTTCCTACGCACCCAGCAAGGAAGTGTCACAACAAGGGCCCATAATTAGGCCCTGTAAAACAATATCATCATGTTACAGAGGAAAAGGAATGGCTTGTGAATGACTAAAAACGAGAGTGAACTTTGGGTTCCCCAAGACCTGGGGAAAGGCGGTGGGAAAGCGTGCGGAGCTCTCCATCTTTGCTGCCTGCCTGTTGCTTTTCTCTGCAAAAGCCCAGCAAAAGCAGCCTGGCTGTTTGGAGCAGAAGCTTTATCAGCAGATCAGAAGTCCTAGAGAAGCTGGTCCTGCTGCTGCCCCTGGGAAATTCAAGGTCTGGGACATTCTGCTGCTGCTGTCCACTCCCTGCCACGCCTGGGGCTGGGTCCTCGGGTTCCTCCTCCACCACTCTGGGTTGTGTAATCACCCCAGGGCTCTGCACAGCACAGCTCCAGGGACTTGGGGTGATTTCCCAAAGACAGGGAGGTCTCAAGGATCCATCCAGGTGCTATGGTGACAGGAGATGACAGGCCAGGCCCTGAGATGAAGGCAGAGCTCCGTGCCTTTCATACAGTGGTCTTGCTGTCAGCTCCATCCTGAGGAGCAAATAATACTTTACCAATTGCATGTTCCCACATTTATATGACATTTAAGACAAGTCAGTGATTTTTGTCTCACTGATGAGGCCAGGGAACCACCCAGTGCTTATCTCAAAGCTCCCCTGTGCTCCAAAGCACGTTTAGCCATTAGGAAGGAAGGGGCCTCTGTGACAAAGCTCCCGTGGCACCTCCTGGTTGCATGTCCCTGGGTCTGGCCTGGGGGGATGAGAAACTGCAGGTCACTGTAGCAGCCTCACTGCAGGGGCAAAGTCTGAAATTCCAACAAATTATTTGCCAGCCAGGTTTTCCTTTTGGCATCCTGGCCATGGCTTGGGAGCTGCAATGGCAAATAACTGTGTGTTTCTTCTGCTGGCTGATGGAAATCTTGCTGTCTCTCTCATTAAAGCCTCCAGCAAAACCCAGCCATGGCGAGGCAAAGCCCTACAGGTCCATTTTAGAGCTGAGGGAAACTGAGGCACAGAAGGACAAATCACCCTGGCAGCATTTGGTCAAAGCCAAGTGGAGCCAGAGCCAGGTCATTGCTCTTTCAAGGACCCACGTGAGCTTGCCTGTATAACAGATTTTGCACAAAGCAGGGATTGGAATTTCAGGCTTTACACTCATATACTCCAAAAATTGGTGATTATTTCCCCTAAAAAAATACATAATTTTTAGGAAAAATTAATATTTGCTCAAAGCAAAGTTCCCAGATGATGTATCTCAAAGCACAGACGCCAGTTCCTCTTTGAAAAACATTGTGGGACTCTGGGTTTTAATGGGAATCATTTTCTTTCTTCTTCACCTCCTTCACTTCCTTCCTTCCTCCCTCCTTCCTTCCCTCTTTCATCCTCTCCATTTCCTCCCTGTCTCCCAGAGAGAGCCATAAAAATTAAAAAATACTATAGGAGAGCAAACCTGAACATTCCCTAAAGAAGAATGTGTTTTGTCATAGAAAAGGAATTATAAATTTTTTACATTTCAATAGCTGCTATAAAACATAAAACCCCCCCCAAAAAAAAAAACCAAAAAAAACCAAACCAAAAACCCAAACACAAATCAAATGTAAAATTTCTTATTTCTTTTGACATCTACCATCCAAACCAAATATTCTTGGCTTGTGCCAGGGATCTCTCATGTCCTGTTGACACTTGTCTTTCAAATCCTGCCTGCTCTGGATGCTGCCAGGAGAGAGCCAGGAGCTACAACCACTGTGAAAAGGGCATTTTCTTGGCTCATGTGCCACTGTGGGTAAAAGGCAGCAGAAAAAGGCAGCTCCTGCTCTGGGTTTTCATCTATCACAGCTCTGTACCCCGCTTCTCCTCTTTAAAAATGCCTTTAAACTGCCATGAATTTTCTTATTTATGTGTTTTTTCTTATTTATGCTGAACACCCCAGTGCCAATGGCTCGGCAAAGGCATCCATGACCTTCACTTGCCCTTAAGGCCAGCTCAGCAGCCCCACTGTGGCCCGTGGGTATTTCATGGGACATTCTGGATGATGTTTTTTACCCCATTTGATTTTGGGGTGGATCTCTGGGCAGCATTCAAGCCCTCCACTCCCTGGGCAGGGGCCTGATGCTGCTGCTCCTCCATCCTAGGGCAGCTCAGGGGTCTCTCCCCTGTCCACTGCCCCCCTGAGCTCCCTGCTCCTCTATCCCTGGCATCAGGAGCTGCCAGGGCTCTGACAGCACCTTCACATCAGCCTCAGGCCACACAGCCTTGGAAAATCAGGCTGAGAAAACACCAACAGGATCCACCCTGCCTCGGAGGGCCGGGAGGAATCAAACCAAAAATCCCTGCAACAAGAAGAAACCCCACCTGCCTCTGCTTTGCCTCATTGCTGGGGGATGAGCCTGCATCTGTGATTCCCCCTGGCTCTCCCATGTGCTTAGAGGGAATTCTGCACCCCTAATCACCTCTGAGCACGGGGGGGAAGCGCTGCTGCGTTGCTGGAGTGGCAGATAGGAGGGTTCCCAATGTGTGATGCTCAGAGAGGGAGAAAGGAGCTGACTTTGCTCTGGATATTCCCTCCTGCCCAGGGATATCGAATGGAATGAATAATTCGCTATCCGATCATCTCTAATCTTCATCCCATAAAATCAGCAGCAAGCTGGGAGGGTTTTTGAAGCCTCCAGCTGCATTTGCTGATAAGACATGAGGCAGGAAAGATTGGAAGCCCATAAAAATGATAATCTCAGGCTTCAGTGTAACTTGGTGGAAGGGTTTTCTCCTGTCCTTTCATTAAGGATGGATTTCATGATCTCCCTTAAATAACAACAAGCCTCCTCACGAGGAATCTCCTGCCTGAAAACTGATTGCATCGTCATTAGGAAATAGGAGACCAAGAAGCCACGAGAAAATAGATGGAGCACAGCTGAGCTCCAGGCTAAGGCCGAGGGGTGGGAGGGAAAGAGGGAATTGGAAGTGATTTCTGAGCACAGAGAGGATCTTTAGGCATTGGGGCCCTGCCTAGGAGAGTCAGGAGCTGGCACCACGTCAGGCTGCTGGGCACAAGCCTGACGTGAGCCTGGATGTGGAGCAAAGCCTCCTCTTCCTCATCTTTCAGCTCCTTGGCATGAAGAGAAATAACCATGTCCCATTTCAGTGTGATTTGATACAGCAACCTCTACACCAGCCCCAAATTCAGTGAATCTGGAGAGAAGGGAAAGGAAAAAAACTCAGCAACCATTTACATTTGAATCTCAACTATGATGGATGAAAGGAGGAGAAGGGAAAGATGGCTGGTCTGGTGAGGGTGGAAAGTTTCAGGAAATAATTACCTC